CGAGAAAAAAAAATGGTTTCATTATTCAAAAGCAATGGGTAATCTTAACAGTTGGTTGAATCTACCCATGCAATTGACAAGGCTCCGAAATTTAATCTGTAATTCTCAGCATACCAGAATTAAGCAGCAAGGGTATGACTGGTTTTATGAACGAATTTTTTTTTTTTTTGCAACCCCATCCATCGAAATTAGGATCACATTCAATTTAGATGCTCTTTATTAAAGGTTATGCTGTCTAGGTTATGAAGAAATGTTCTGATAGAATCTAGTGCAGACTGATGGTGGGTTAATTTGCCCCAGGGTTTAATTTCAGTGTGTGGTCTAATGAGAAAACGTTTTATAAAAATAGCCTAACGATTTAAACTGAATTAGATTTACAAGCGAAAGTAAATTATTTAATTGTTTAATGATATAGCAAAGGAAATGTGTAAAATATAAACATCTATAAATTTATTGTTCATATTTTACGAAAACTATTTCTCAGCGCACCTTTTATGAAAACGATTTCTCAGCAAGCGAAAGTAAATTATTTAATTGTTTAATGACATAGCAAAGGAAATGTGTAAAATATAAATATCTATAAATTTATTGTTCATATTTTATGAAAACTATTTCTCAGCGTACCTTTTATGAAAACGATTTCTCAGCAAGCGAAAGTAAATTATTTAATTGTTTAATGATATAGCAAAGGAAATGTGTAAAATATAAATATCTATTAATTTACTGTTAATATTTTAAGAAAACGATTTCTCAGCGTACCTTTTATGAAAACGATTTCTCAACCTACCTTTTATGAAAACGATTTCTCAGCAAGCGAAAGTAAGTTATTTAATTGTTTAATGACATAGCAAAAGGAAATGTGTAAAATATAAATTTATTGTTAATATTTTATGAAAACGATTTCTCAGCGTACCTTTAATGAAAACGATTTCTCAGGAAGCGAAAGTAAATTATTTAATTGTTTAATTACATAGCAAAGGAAATATGTAAAATATAAATATCTATAAATTTATTGTTAATATTTTATGAAAACCATTTCTCAGCATACCTTTGATGAAAACGATTTCTCAGCAAGCAAAAGTAAATTGTTTAATAACATAGCCAAGGAAATGTATAAAATATAAATATCTATGAATTTATTGTTAATGTTTTATGGAAACGATTTAGTATAATTTAACTGAAGATTGAAATGTTTTGTTGTATTTATACTACTACAAAAGATATTTACATATATTATAAATTCCAATTATAGAGCTTACAACGAAAAATATTATAATGTCAAGTATTAACGGGGGTGGTACGATGGTCTGGTCTGCTACTGGTAATTTATTTAAGACAGGAATTAAGTTTTGAGTCGTTACCATAAGTGATGGAAAATGAAGGAAATAATTACAATATCATTATTTTTACAAATTCTTTCCAATGAATAAAATCATTTGTAGTTGTTTATATAAAAGTTATTCCAAAAACATCAATTTAACAAACTGTTAGCAAAAATTATAAACAAATTAATGATTGCTGTTTTTAATAACAGTTTATGAATACAAAATTATATTTAGAATATTACGTCTATTTGAAAATCTTGAATGGTTTTAAGCATATAAAAATATTTTTTGTTAAATAAATTCTATTCTTAAAAATGTCTTAAAAATCTATTTAATAAGCGACGATAGTTTAAGTCAGGTTTCACTTTAAATCAGTTCTGATTACAGATCATTCACACCATTATATTCAGTGCTATGTATTATGTATTTATACAGGTTGTCCAAAATTAGACGGATGATTTTCAAACATTTATAACTAGAAAAATTTATGTAGCAGCATATGCTCGTTTTAGTTTTAAAATTTTCCAACTGATGGCGCTGCACATCTCATTTGAATCGTTCTTTCCGTTATATTTTGATGCATTTATATTCAGTCGTTCTCATGTAATAAGAATGATTATAATTGTAGGTTCGAGCACTGATTAAATGATAATCGATTCGAGCATTTGTATAAGTCTCTATTCTTCAGTTCCGTTATTTGTTTTAAGCCCGACACACTAACATTAAAAACAAATTCTAATGTAATTTTCATATTAAAAGATTCCGGTTTGTATTATTCAAGTTTTTATTTATTTGTTAATGATAGTTTTTATTTATTAGTGTCTGCAGTGCTATTATGCTGAAAAATAATTGAAATGAAATCCCGAATTTTGAGAGAGAAAAATGCATGGCCTCTCACGTGATTTTGACGTCATAAATTTTTAAAAACATCCAGTCTACTTTAGGCCGGTTAAGTACTTTGACGTAAATCGAAACGGAGTACAATAAATCATATTGTCTATTCGAATAAAATTACTTCCTGAAATTTGGTTTGAATTGGGACGAGATGAAAAATCCGAGCAGCCTCAACAAATGGAATCAAAATTAACAAGAATTTATGTGGGAGAAAATTTTATTTAAATTGAAAAATAAATACTGTTCCCTATGATTCCTATATTACTTGATTGTATTACTGTTGTGCTTAAATTACTTTTAGAACATTAATTAACTTAGAAGTAATCTTTTTGAAATTAATTTTAAAGGGTGTAGAACCATAAAATCGTTCGATTTTTTTTGCAATTCTAATATGGTGCAAAATTGAACCATATTATGGTACTTTTTTTTACTAATATTATACTTAAACTTGGACAGAAACATGAGTCAATTCAACATCTTATTAAAACCTCAGTTAATTCGCATCAATTCAGTACCTCCATGTTCAATTTACCGATATTATAGTTAAACCAATTTTTCTGAAATTCTAATATACATCTTTTACAACCCATTTCCTTCGTCAATACCGAATACCATTTATTGCCTTAATTATCCGAATTTATTTTATAACCGAGAAAATAAAATCGAGCACGTATGAAAAGTAAAGCTAATGCAGTTTTGTTTAAGTATGAATAATTTTTTAAATTGCTCGTTCATAGTAAGTATATCTCGGTCGCACTTCTCTTAAGATCTATACAACCATAATAATTTTTCATAATTTTAAACCCAACCAATAAATATTTTATTACAGTCCAGTAATTTAGCTAACCGTGTTTGATACAGCCACCAATGCTCTGGACGGCTTCAAATAGTGATTAATTACGTCTACTGTCGGCTCAGATTTCAGGATAGTAATTAAAATATTGAATCCCACCAGACCATGAATCACCAGGCATCTGTTTCGAAATCAACACCCCCTGTCGAACACTTGGCTCGTTATGAGCCTTTGCTTTAGTCCCTGATGTTCAAAATGAGGAATTCCAGTGGCGCTAAATACTGGCGCAAATTCCTCTGGCCCGGTGAGCATCAACGCCAACTAGAGAAACTCTAGCTAATTACAAGTCTTCGTCGGTTTCTGAATTAAGTTTTCTGTTAATAAACGGGGAAACTAACTCAGAACTGCTGCTGCCATCGCCGAATTCGAAATCTCATGTAGATAATTGGAACTAATTTGCAGAGGAAGACGCTTGGTGGCGCTATGTCTCTTAATGACGTCATCATCTGCCAAACAGAGCTCATTACACACTTTCTTCTTGTGAGAATCTTTTCTCTAAATGGACGCCTTGAACAGTAATTCAATGAAAGCAGAAGAAACGAAGTGAAGTTGATGGAGTTGAAAATAAAGGCGGAGAATATGCATTCAAATTTAATTGGACGGGGCGTTTTAATCGAGATGAGTTCTGGATATAAGTTCAAATGCGCTTCAATTTCGAATATGCTTAATGAAGCAATTCCGCATCGACGTAAAAATTACAATTTTTCTGACTACAAGCTGAGTTTTGTAAATGGTTAAATTTATCGATGCATCTAAGAAAAATTGAGTTTAAAGACTTGGCTAATGATTCTATGAAAAAGGGGTGAGCGTCTGCTCAAAATTTTAATTAGCAACTGATTTTTCAAAATTTATTGATCAAAAACTTTAGTCGTACCCAGAAAATTGTAAAGTGAATAAATTTGTTTCTGAAATATGTTAATAATGGTCTTGTTTTTAATAAAATAAATAGAAAAAGAATTGAGAAAACTCAAACTTGAAATAATTTAATAAACTTAACATCGGTTAAACCGATTTCAATTACATATTATTTAGTGAAAAAACTGAGCTTTGTAGAACGAAATTAACCAATTAGTGTCGCTGTAAAAAGGTTAAAATTGAACAACAAAGTTTTTTCTTTCATGAATTTATATTGCTTAGTAAATATTAAATAAGTATAACTACTCCAGTCGATATTCGATGGCAACAACAAGTATTTGAACTTAACAAAATCACAAAAAAAGAACAAGACAATGTCAAGTAATTATCGCCTTACAAAGTTTTAGTGTCTCACTAATATTATTCTAACTTATGCTCAAATTCTTTATCAAGTATTCTTAAGAGCAACAAAATTATAAAAGATCATTTTTAAGGATATGTAATTTTATGTTTTAATATGAAAGTTGTGTAGATAAAAACTTGTACAGAAAATTAATTTTTTTATATTGAGTGTTATTTTCATACGTATATTTTTGAAATAAACACAAATCGCGAAAAAATACCATGAATTTTTAAAAAAAACTTAATTTAAAAAAGTGTTTGGAAACTTCTTAACCTTTTTTACAAATTATTCCTCGCTGCAAAAATTTCAGCATGAAATTACGGTAAAAAGTACTGGTCCCCTGAGTGCTGAGGTATTTTTACCGTAAAATTTTACGGAACAAAAAATACGCCGTTATTTTTACACAGTAACATTAACTTTTTCATTGTAATTAAATGTATACTATTGTAAAAATTATAGTCCATAATTTTGCGGTAAAAATAGGTTTTACTGTAAAATGAATTTTACGGATACAGTGGACAGGGTACCAATACTTTTTACTGTAACAAACTTAGATATTTTCCACTAAGTTTTTTTATTGTGATTTTTAAACCAAAGAAAAAAAACATCTAAAATAAAAATAAAATACGAATTCTCCCTAAAAGTGTTAAAAATTTTCAAACCTACTTACCATTGTGAAGGAGTTAAAGGTAATTTATAACCTAAAAGAAAAAAGAATAGACTATTAGTATTTATTTAGTATTTCAATTATAAACATATAATAAATGTTTTTTTTTAAATATATCAAAAATGGGCAAAATATTTATTTCAATAGGATATTTCTTCAAAAATCAATATCCTAATATTAACCAAGGCATCCATGTCAAAATAATTTCTTGATACAAACAACTCAGTATTAAATTTATTATTGATTTGTTGTTATTGCAGATTCTTTAGAAACATGCCCGATCTTTCAATTTATTATCAATTAATTATTACTCTAACTATCAATCTATCAGTTTACTAAGGGAATTATCAGCATTACAGAGACTAGATATTGATTGTATTGTTTTATCACATTTTATTTTATTTTATAACCGTCGTTGATCAGCAAACCCAATTTTTGGGTATACGACTACTAATGCTCAACGCCGTAGCCTTGTAATTTTAAACCCAATCCAGAAGACAAGGGAACTCCTGGATCAAGTATTGGGAAATATTTGCCTTCGCGGAGGACTTTTTTTTTATGGAGAGGAAGACCGCGAGAACCTCCCACGGTTAGCCTGACGGCAAGGGGACTCTAACCCACGATCAGTCTACCACTGAGGATACTTCACGTCAAAACTGCAGTCGGTGTAAGCCGGATACGGATTTGTATCGTCCAGCCATCGCTGAGATTCGAACCCGGTTTACCTCATTGGAAGGCTAATGCTCTATCTCCTGAGCCATGAAAACTTCATTTACTTCATAAATATTCAAATATTAAAAAAAAACTCTCTATCCCCTGAGCCATTAGGGCTCCGGTTTACGTTATTGTAAAAAATAAGTGGAACAGATTACATTTATAGTAAAACTATTAAATGTTTAACGCTTTATTTTATTGCCAAACATGAGTGGGCAGCCTTTATTGAACTATCTCTCTCAAAGAATTAAAACATTATAAATATAACATTCATTTGAAAATAGTTCTAGTGGTATATTATACCATTCTCATATTTCTCTTTACAGTATAAGGTTTAGCTTTCTGGAATTTCTCGTCACCGTAAACTTTTTTTGGGGGCAAAAAGGAGAAGAAAATAAAAGAAAAATTCCTCCTTAAAAAGATCAGAAACTTTCATGAAAAGAAACGGGACTATTATGTTTCGGAAAAAACTTTTTTTCAGAAAAAGACTTTTTTTTTAACCATCAAAATGTGATGAAAAGATAACAATTCCGTTCTTAGATATTTCTGAATGAAAAAAAAAATGCCAAGCAATATTAGTGCGAATAATATTCAAACGATACTACAAGTAACGTCAACGTCTTCTTGACGGTCAATCTTTGAAGTAAATATAGTAGGGAAGCGAACAACACTTGAGAACAACAATAGAATATTTTAAACAAACCAACCGACTTCCAGAAAGTATAAAATAACTCACAACCCAAAAAAATAACTGCGGTTCGAAGATTTTTATGTGGCACGATTACTTTTTCATGGCACTTTGACCTCAGCAATTTATTATTCAGAAATCCTCAACATTCCTTGTTCCATCTCCCACACTTTTGACGTTAAGTACAGATGAAATCGACCATGGCGCTGAAAAAAAAGACGCCTCTTATTTGGCGATATTTCTTTAGAAACCTAATAAAGACCTTTTCTGGTATTTTAGGGTCCATTTGCTCATCATTATTTGGTCGTAAAAATGTACAGTCAATCAATTGTCTATTTCTATTGTTCCAAAAAGATAAAACTACAAAAAAAAATTTGCGTGCAATGCCGCAGTATATTGAAAAGTGTAGATTCAGTCATAAATTTTGATCTTATATAAATCTGGAGTAGGATAATATTGCAGACATGTTTATCATATGCTATGTTTCTGTTTTCGTAGTATCCAGAAGATGATAAGTTGTTGGTGTTATCAAAGAGATCGGCTTGGGCAGGAAATGGCTGATGATTTTGGGGACTGAAGTAAATTGGCTTAAAGTAAAGGTAAATGGCAGCAATGGTTTAAGCTGCATCGAACACTTTCTGCCTGCATGACATTATAAAAGAAGGTGAAGTAAAACAGTTCGTTTTCCGCAAAGGAAAGCGTTAGCAATGGGTTGTTAAGAATTATAAAAGTGGTAAAAGAAGACACGTTTAGAGCGCGCAAAAATTGGCGACGTTCTCAATACTCGTCAGATGTGAATGGGGAAACTTAACGGATTTGAAACGGAAAACTTACAGGTTGCCAAAGAGAAATGGAAAATCAATAAAATCGAAATACAAAACTAGAAAAATCGCCGGAGCCGAGACAGGCATATCAGAGCAGACTGCATTTCAAAGCCCCGTGAAGACTTGGTGAGGAACTAGTGTCGTTAACTAGAGAATCGGCCTTCGTAAGAAAACCAAAATATTCCAGAGTATCCAGATGAGCCAATATGACAAGGGTGGAAAGACTTCTGACATTATAGAAATTAAATTTATGCCCAAGGTTTCCAAAAAATGAGTAGCACTAGATGATTTATAGAATCATTGATGACGAACCTATAAGTGTTTCTTCAATTTAAATTTTAAAATGTAAATGTCTTGTCCAATGTAGCCAAAATTGCATACAAAATACGTTGTATGTATTTTTGTTTGTTTGGTTTCAAATCTGATTTGTTTTTGTCTGTCCAATCGTGAGAATGGGAGATACATGCAGACTTTTTCGCCTTTTTGTAATTTTTGGGCAAATGAAGTTTTTACATTATCAATTTTAATGTGTGTATATTTGCATGATAATTATATTCAGGTTATTAAATTATATGTAGGCATATCATTCTACACACAAGGACTATCTAATAGAAAAAAAGATTCAAAATTAAAAACAGTACCCGATAATAAACAAATAAGAAAATAACTTATATTAATGCTATGTTTTTGCCATATATTATATTCAGTCTATTAGAGTATAATATTCTACATACTAGGAGAGAGCAAATAAATGTAGTTTATAAAATTTAAGATGAACGTTACGTAGTTTACTACTACGTAATCTACAAACAAAAACGTAGAACAAAAAAAGTGAAAAAGATTTATTTCTTTTATTAAATAAGAAATGAAAAGATTCTTTGTCGTTACAGCTCATAGTGGGTATTTACTTGCTGAAAACTCTTGTTTCAAACCTTTCTAGAAATGTTAATATCACTACTACGTCGTACTAAAAGTTATCTTTCAACAGAGTTAGTATTTAATTTTCAGTTTGAGGAAAGATAGACACTATTACTGATGGCAAAAATTAAATGATAAATAATAATGATAACGTTGTAATTTTCAGTTATAATTCAAAAAACCTTTTGCGAAAAATAAACTATGAATTAAAAAAAAGTATTTCTTTCGTCCTAAAAGCCTTATATCAGAAGCTTCAAACAAGTGTTTAAAACCACAGATGACAAATATAGATAAAAAAATGTCTGTAAATGTGGGGCAAAAGGAGCATTCATAAGAAATCTGTGGTTTCTGCGAGATAAAATCTGATAATTTCTCCGAAACTGAGTCAAACGGAATTTAATATTCTTACAACGTATATATTTCGGCCAGAAAATCAAATGAGCATTAATATTGGTTAGCCAGAACTACAAGCCATAATAAGAAATGAATATAGAACAAAAGATATTAGTAATAATGTTCTGTAATAAGAAATTACAAAACATTACAGTTGATAGGATATCAAATTTACAAGCTAACTTTTGTTGTAAATTAAATATTCTGTGAACTGTAGCCTGATCCACTGTCAGTCTAGGTTAAGCCACGGTAAGTCTAGGCTAGGTTAGCCTGAGCCACGAGTCATATAACTAATGAAGTACATAGAACATAACAGTTCATAGGATATCAAACTTACAAGCTTACTTATGTTGTAAACTAAACATTGTCAGTTACTTCATTTCTCAATAAATACATAAAATCAAATAGATATTAAATCTTTCTGAAAATTACTTATCTAAGAACTTAAATTATTGTTTATCATTTATTACAATTCCGTTACTTTATATCAAACATGAGTTATACTTTATATTTTATTTTATAACCAGCTCTGAACAGTCGACCCAATTCTGAGTTTATGACTATCACAGTTCAACACAGTAGCCTTTTGAATTTGAATCCGATTCAGAAGACATGGGGAAATTCTCAGGACTTGCCAGACCTGTCGGATTCACGGAACGCTTTTAATCAAGTATACATTTCGGCTTCACTTACTAGGGAATTATTTCTTTAATCTATATTAAGAGTTTGAAATCAGCAACTTAATTAAATATTGGTTAATACTTAAATAAAAAATCATAACGCTAATTTTCTTCATGGGTAACTAAATGATTTATATTATAATATTTAATGATTCAGAAAAACTAGCATACATTCAAACCATAGACCACCATCGCATAGAGAAACCACCATACCACCGGTTTTTAAAAGCCCAAATAAGGCATTCTTTATTCCCAAAGCTACACTAAAACTTCATGATTTTCCTGAAAACTTACTTAATGAAAACCACACTAGACTAAATAAGTTTCCCCCAGACATACCAGTTGTTGATAGCCTGATTTACACTGTCTACAAATCCGGTAAATTATGCAAAAGCTCTGTTTTCCGGGAAAATTCCCCAAACCATCTCCGCTTTGCGGAAACTCTAGTTTTCCAATTATCCTAATAACCAAGACCGGCAAAAGTAATTAGGTCAACGGAGCGATCAAGAGACGATTTGGTTCTCCGTTTTTCCTTTTTTTTCTATCCCGAAGTTGCATAGGGAATTTTTGTTCCATCGTACGTCTCCAGAGAGAAAAACACAAATGTTTCCGAATCCCTTATTCCCAATCGGAGGAAAGTGACGTACGTAACGGTATCAAAAGAAAAGTTAATTACCAAAAGCTCTTCAAGCGCTTTTGGCGAAAAGAAGCCAATTTTTCCCTCCAAAACCACTTAGACAGGATTCCAACGGATCTAAAATGGCGTTTAAAGCCCAATTAACAAAGCAATGTTTAGAATGTACAGATCGAATTCTTA